CCACAGTCACTTTAAACTTAACAACCTTTATAACACATGCTATAAATCACAGTGATTCACACATTTTATTTACGGTGCCTACCGTTCTCTTGACTCAGTTCTCTCTATCTTCATTCTGTCTGCATATCTATGTATTGCTGGCTTTATTTACCGGGCTTACATACTAAAAAAAGAAGGCATCCGGCAAACACTCAGACGTTCGTGGGGTTCCTCGATAATTCATGATCCTTTGTGAAACTCCAGCATGCATGGTCCCATCGTCGCGTGACTTCAGCTGTCGTAACAATATATATGTTCAGAACAAGTTAAACGTATGTACAATACAGTATTCACACTATAGAGAATATAAGCATATTGTAAACGTTATATCAGTATATGTATAGTTCTCCTCTTGTCAAAAGTCCACTTAGGCCTGTTCAATTACTTTAGAATCTCATTTGACAAGCCGAAGTATTTTCTCTAATACTATTGCAATATTAGTCTGGTGGGATTCACTTACGATTGTGTTCTTCTCTCTTCAGAAGATCCTATGTTCTTTTTGTTAAAGTGCACTCAGGCTGATTCAATTACTTTAGAATTTCGCTTTGACATAATAAATTTATTTTTTCTTATTTCCTTTTCCACTGTTAGTTTCACTGTAATATATATTAAATGCTAGGCCTATCACTTTTACATTACTTAACTTCACACCAACTATATTCTCCGTTTTTATCTGTCTGCTGCTTCCTGCTTGTCTCACACTATTTATATTTTTATTACATAGTTGTTTGACCACTTTCTATATTCTCAACACCAATTAGTTATTAATAAAACTTTCTACAATCATCTGCTTTAACTCTTATTATAACAAAACTTAAAGATAATAAAATATTCACTCACAAATATAAATTAATCACTAATATTTAAAACAAACAGTCTTTTACATCATGACAACCTAACACTTTTGCACAGTACTGTATATTAATCATATATTTCTCTCTTTCCACTCTTAAGGTACGGGTATTCATATACCATAGACTAAAATTTTAATCTTACGTATAAGACCTTTAAAGATATTCATTTAGCTTAATAGGAGCAGATGTTTAAATTACAAGTATTTTCCTTAAATATTCTGTTAAGCACTTCCACATTGAAACTTACTGATTGCAAACTACAAACCTTAAAATTTCTTAATCATTTTACAGATCTGGTCAGTAATTTTTAAAGTGCTAACCATTTTTAAACACTAATTGTAGATGGTAATCTTATATTCATTTATATTTGATTGTATTGTTATATTGTTAATGGCACAGTATTTCTTTTCTTTTTTTATGTTGTAGTTTTTTGCTGCATTATAACACATCTTTTTGTACCTGTCAGTGATTTTTGGGCCACATTGTAGGTTTTGAATTTGCAAAAAACTTTTTATGTTCTCAAAAGCTTTTATTCAAATCAAGCGACATACATAGTTCAAAACTAAAAATTAATGAGGGAAGTAACCTAACTAATTTGATATACTGATCTATCTAGGAGTATTCGATGACGAGGAACCCACTTTGAGATTAATAATGGCTAGAGACGGCTTAAATGGGTAATGAAGAAAAACTTTAATATAAGTTTAACATGACAGCAAATGTACAACGTTTCGACAAGGTTTTGTCATCATCAGGT